TAATAATACATGTACCAAAACTGAGTAATTATTGTGAGCCCAATCTTGATTTTGTCTTGCCCATTTGGATCCAATCTGGTGGCCCTTTTTCGTCTGTAGGCGTCCATATTTCATGCCAAATGAAGAAAAGGACTATGAATTAAAAAAAAATAAATTATTTGATTAAAAAAAAGTCCTTTAAACAAATTTTCACATATAAAATTTGAAATTACCATTAACTTTCGGCCTCTAACATTGTGAGTCGTGGAAAAATGCTCTTTAATTTTTTTTAATTCTGACTGCCTAAGATTATGCCTTTTTGATGGAGATCGCAATACTTCTTCAGAATCAGGTTGAGAATATGCAAGATTATTTGAATTGTGCTTGACTTCTTGTAAAGGAAATATTGCTGTATGCATATTTTGATAAAATTGTAAATGATTGAACATTTCCTATACATGTATATTGTTAATTATATTCTTGTAAGGGTGTAACCGTGAACGAGCTAAAGGAAGTAACATTCCACAGACTCTTTCAATCGGAAATTGCCATGTAGCCCAACATGGACCTGTGTTTTCTATACTATCGGCAATATGTAAAAGGTTGTGAAAGCATAATTTCATTGTACTTAGCCGCTCTTCCAAACTTTGATAATATTCTCTAAAATAAAAAATAAATTAAATATCAAGACTATACTATACAATTTGAAATTAAATTGATAATAAACTACTTACTTTTCATAATAATCATAAAAAGACTGAAATAAAAATCTAATATCATTTATATCTTGAGATGTTAATGATAATTTTTGACATAAACGTACAGCATTAACAAATTTTGCCCATCCTTTGTAATGTTTCTGTGGCATTCTACCTTTCAAAAGAGGCAATGAATACATGGTAATCCAGGCAGCCCATTCTTTAGCTTTATAACCTTTATGGTATAATACTATATTGCGTGGTGGTCGTCCAAAACAAGTTGGAAACTCTTTCCGTGCTTGATGCATTTCTTCACCGATAATCTTCCATTCAGATTGGCTAAGAATATAATCACCAATATTTTGATCACTATTATCATTAAAAAAAGTTCCAGTCCATAATTTAAACATGTAATAGGCAATATTCTCATATATAAGATGCATTAGATCAATCGGAAAAGAATTTGGAAAATGAATTGCTTTAAGGTTAAAGAGTATACTACGCCCTTTTATTCCTTATAAATAAATAATTATTAAAATTACTAAAACAATAAAATTTAATTAAGAGTTATATATACCAAATTCAGTTTCTAATTCTTTTCTTTCTCTTTTTGAATTTGCTTGGTTTAATTGAAAAATTCGATCTTTAAACTGCCTATGAGTTCGCAAAGGTAAATTTTCAGGATCATATCTTTCATATTCATTTTCTTTTTCCATAGGTGGTTTAGTAGGAAAATACACATGATTTAAGTAAATACCACGAATATCACAAAACCGGCACCCCTTATATGAATTATGGCCAGTTAATTGCATGAGTTTGGTCAATCCTGGAGTATCACCTGACCATGATAAAATATGGGCATGTAATAAAAATGTTTCATTTTTTAATCAGTCATAGCAATCTATCCCATCTAAAAGTAATAAAATATAAAATATTACTAAATATTATAAAATCAAAAAATTTAAATCAAAGAAAAATTACCTTCCAGTTCTTTTAATTCTTTAATTATAGGATACATAAATGAATTAAAGTCTTTGGGTTCTTTTGGGCCTGGAATAATTGCTGCTATTAAGAGATTTTCTTTTTTAACACGTTCTTCAGGACATATATTGGCATTAATTATAAGGACAACCCAGCAATCATCTGTTTTTTGTTGAAAGATTTGGTAGCCATCAACAGAACCCATTAATGCAACATCTCTATCATCTTCAAAATATCCATTAGATAAAAGTTTTTGGTATCTAGCGCCATCAAATATATCTCCAATTATTCCATCTAAACCAAATCCTTGATGACTTGTATAATTTGCACGATATCTCAACTCTTTGGAACGTTTTGGATCTTGATATTGAATTCTAAGACGGTCTTTAATGGAAAAAAAGGCCATTTGTTGTCGTGAAACATGTTTTCTAGTCTGAAATCTTGATGTTTGACAATATTCACAAAAATCATTGTCTTTATACTTTCCTGTATAAGCGCAACAAGAGTTGATACAAGTATCTACCCATGTAGGTTTTATTGGAACAATTGATTCTAGTGTTTTTTAAACTTGAAATAAACTAATATCATTACCATTAACTGCTACCATGGTTTGATGAAATGCATTATCCGTTAAGTTACACTGAGATTTAACTAGAAATAATCTTAAAGCACAAATTAATTCTTCAGTTAATTGTATCTCTCCTTAAAAATCTAAATTAAATAAATGAATTAGATTTGAGTAAATATTTCAAATTATTTAATCCTTATATATTTTTTGTACCTGAATTATCTGCAGAAGATTCACTTAATTCAGAAAGTTCATCGATTACATTTGGAGATAATTCTTGCTCTAAATCAGACTCATCAATATTAAAAAAACAATCATCTCGTCCAGAAGATAAATTTTCCATATTATCCAATAAACTTGATGATTCATTTAATCCATTTTCTTCCGGCCTTTAAAATTGTATTTTATTAAAAATTAAAAATTGAAGTACTAAAATTTATTAAAAAATATACCTATCGAAACTTGTAGATATAATATTAGCTTCAGAAGCGTTAGAATGCAAAAAATCAATATTTTCATCTTGATCCATAAGAATAGAAGATTCACTTTCAGAACTAGAAAGTATATCTGAAATACTTAAACTTGAGGTTGTTGAACTTAAAGTTGAGTTTATTTCTGCTGTTTTTTTTTCTTGTTTGCGATGTCTAGTTCTTGTAGATTTTGAAATTAAACATCCAACTCCTTCAGTGTCATTTTGACGACATTTTAAACATGTACAAAGAACTTTTTTAGATGTTTGATTTAACATGTTTAATATAAATTCAATCCAATAGAAAAAACAAACAATTTGTTAAATAGCTTAATTGTCTTACATATTTATACTTAAATGTATATAATTGACTTAAATGATAAATATTACAATATTATGATGTAATACACTTATCTATATATATACCTGATTAACTTTACATTAACTTTTTAAAGATATAAATACGTAAAGTTTAAGTAATATTTTCAAACTAATTAAAAAACTACTAATTAATTATCTTCTTAATTATAAATATGTCCAAAAATATCATTCAAAAATATCCAAAAAAAAAATTTACTAAAGAGAGTTCAAAAGAGTTTGATAATAAAAGTGACTACAATTCTAACCTTGAAAGTTCAGATAATAATAATGATAATCAAAAAGAAGATATGTTATCAAAAATTTTAACTCGTATTACTGCCTTAGAAAATGAAAATAAGAAATTGAAAGATGAATTAAAAAATAAATCATCAGTTTCAAGTTCAAGAAATAAAGAAACTTCAAATATTATAAAGTCCAGTTCCAATAAATTTATTAAAAAAATGGATAGGGTGGTGCCTAAATTGACGTCCAAAAAGCATGCAGAATCCAGCTTAGAACAATCAAGCTCTGAACAAGAATCAGATAGTGATACAGAAGCAGAAGTATATGAAAAAGATATTTTACATAAAGATTGTAAGACTAAAGAAGACGTTTCACACGAAGATTGTATGACTAAAGATGCTTCACATGAAGGTTGTAAAATTAAAGATGATCTACCAATTCCAAAACCTGTCAACTTTACAAATTTGCATTCAAAATTGAACTTAGAAAAGAATGTATATCAAAGTTATAAGGTGAATTTAATAAAGTATAATATTAATTATCAAATATTAATTAATTGTTTTTTAATGTGTTTTTTTCTAATTTAGACTGCTTTCTATAACCTTGTTGATCGGCATACTTCTGCTGAAGTACAATATAAAAACCTTGATAAAAAAACTAAAGCTGGTATTATTCGCAAGTTTAAGAAAGATAATCCTCATTTTCCAAATTGCATTGGTGATTGGGCCTTAATATATCTTATGCGTCGTAAAATAAATTTTAATCGTATGTATTATATTACATAATTAATATTTTTACATTTGTAATAAATATAATTTACTAAATAATGAATTGTTTTTTAATAGGTGATAATATCAGCCGTCAGAATAAGAACAAAAGGCGAGCTGTGAAAAATAAACCAGTTAATAAAAGACGTGCAAAAAATAATGTTATATACGCAAAAACACTTGGCAATAATACTGAAGAGCCTAAAATACAAGATACCTATCAGCAGTCTGAACAGTCTGAAGAAGATTTTAATAGTAATGACGAAGCAAGAAATTCAGAATGTGAAGATCATGAAAAGCAAAATGATGATGAGTTAGTACTACGTGATTCAACTAAATTTAATAAATTGGATGACTCTTCTGTGTATGTATAAAATAAATTTATTTGATTAATAATTAACTGGAATAATGAAGATATTTACTTTAAATATTAGGAATGTCAAATCAAATCCACGACGAAACAATAGAAATAAAGAATCTATTGAAAAACAGCAAATTGAAAAACAGAAAAAATTGCCAAATAAATCTTCAAATTCGTATGTATCTTTTAAATGTGTAATAAATAATTGATTTTATTAATATTTATTCTGTTAACATTAGAAAATCAACACCGCAGCCAACACTTCGTAGATCTTCTCGTAAAAAGACAAATGTTGAAAAACGTCCAATTGATGAAGGTAATAATTCAAGCAAACCTGCCAAAAAAAGACAATATAAAAGGAAATAAAAGTCATAACTTTTACAATAGGAATTTACTATACATAAATTGACCTTATTATGTAACAATTGCATTTCGCATTATGTTTAAACATGTTATTTGAACGTTATTTGTACATTAAATTAGTGCTTGTTTATATTTACAATACAACTTACGAATATTCAATATTGCATTAAATAAAATTATGTTTAAATAATAAACAAATAATGATATTTCGAATAATATATGGTTAAATAACATTTTTTTACATATATTTTACGGAAATTGTGTTTTCATAGGGTATATTGATAATAAATAAAAATTGACCATCATGAACGAACCTCACAAGTGATCAAAATGAACAGGAAAATGAACCTTATTTATTTTAACCTAATTACATGCAGAAATTGGTTGGTCACTCACCCATAATAAATTTTAATGATAAAGTTTTAAGTTATCAAAAGAGAATTTAAAATTTTATAATTAAATAATTACATATTTGCGTTTATTAATGAAAGGAACAACCGCTCAGTCATTTATTCGAAAAAAAGTTGATTTGCGTGGATAAATTAAATGAATATTACGCTCGTAAATTTATAAATTAAAAGATGTTTTTTTTATGAGCGTACATCAGGAAATTTTTTGTGTAGAAAATATGCAAAATTTCGTGCATGAAAAATCTGTTTTGCACACCCTGAAAATGCACATTATTTGCATATTTAATATATATAATATGTATATTGAATAATTTTCTATGTGATATATTGTAAAAAATTTGCACAAAAAAATTACATATCTGATATACAGTATAATATTGTTAACTGCATAAATTTTGAGAAATATAAGTATTTGTGCAATATTGAATACCCTAAAAATTAGTGATGTAAGCCTTGATTATCAATGTGACGTCATCATTACTTCAATATGCACGTCTGAAATGTGTGCAGGTTGACGGCGCAGTGTGGCGCAGTAATTTCAAAAAGATTTAAGTTAAAGATTTTCTTTTTAATGTAAAGCTTTCAAATTTACACATTAGATGTATTTTCATCTGTTTTACAAAATTCACTTATAAATGGAAGGAGGTTTTGGAAGTAGATTTTGACTTTAGTATATAACAACCGATTTTATCGTCTTTGCCGATCATTTCCAAAATTGGATTTGTCGAAAGAACAGTTTTTGTTACTAAATAACTCGAAAATGGCCTTCTAAACCACCCGTATATGCTCTAAGTAAATTTGCAGAGCGGACAAAAATACACCTAATGCAGGAATTTAAAGGTTTTATTTTAAATAAAAAAAATTGCAATTTAATTTTTTTGGAAAAAATCGCAGCGCCACACTGCGCCATTAACCTGGCACACATTTCAGACATGCCTTCAATATTAATAATTTTTAAATTTATATTATTTTAATCTCTCTTTTATGCTTTAGAGAACCATAATTTTGTAATTTTAAAATAAAAATTTTCTACCAATAGATACTATAGTCTTGCTCCATGCATATGAATTTTTTGGTAATTACCAAGTTAGGTCTATGGCTTATTATTTCTTAGTTGACACAAATGTTCACATATTACAGCAAATTTGTTGCTTTAAAGTATATCAAATTTACAGTATTAACCATAGAGAAGTAAATCGTCAATACAGTACGTAGCCTTCTTTGGAGGAATGAAAAATTAAATGCTTGAGAAATTAAAATTTTGCGTGTTAGGTTATTTACAAATAGAACTATTATTATTGATAAATAAATAAATCAAGCGGTCATAATCAAATTATATTATATATCATTATTTATGCTTTAGAAAATCGAATTAAATGAACCAAAGAAACCATATAATTAAATTTGTTTTGTAGATTTTACATTCGGTAATTTAAAATAATAACAAAAATTTTTTTTTTTTAGCTAAAGTTGATTCAACACGGATAAAATATTATCAAAAATGTTGGTATGTACATATCTGGTGAACTGATTAATTATGAACATTCGAAAATCATAAGTAATAACTAATATATACTGTATATTATAAAACCAATCATGAAACACACACGTTTCAAATGATTACGAAACGTCTAAATGAGAATTGGGTCAAGCGAGGTTTTATAATAATAATACTGTAATAATAAAAGAACTAATTTTAGAATTTTTTTAAAAATAAATTTTATAATAAACCCATATTCATTTTAAAATCAATATCGAAGAATAATAGATAGTTCTCGAGTTTGAATCCAATTTAGAGTATATAACGTCATAATATAACACGAAAGATTCAAAAAATGTTTGATTTGATATCTTTTTTTGGATTTATTCACTTAAAATACAATCACATATATTAAATATTTCTATTTCTCGATTTTTTTTGTTTTTCATAATTATCGTAATAGATATTTATAACGGAAAATGAAACACGTTTCAAGTATCGTATTATTCACTTTTTAGTTATTACATAAATAGGGTTAAACGTTTGAGTACATATTATCAAGAACTATTAATTGTACAAATACGCAAATAAGTGTCCATTGTGGTCGCATTTAACAATAATTGATATCCGTGTATATATATATAAAATTATAGGGGGTTAGAATATAAATAGATTTAGGTGTTACCAAAATCACATGACAATTTCACGGGTCCCGATCCGGATTATGAATCCTCTGACAAAATCAGATTTAAAACGTAAGGGGAATTTTGTGAGATTATTTTGTAAACGATCGACTGAATTAGTACTGTAAGGCTGAGTCCGTGATGAATCACGTTTGCCATCCAACCTTGAACATTTTTAATCTGTATTAATAACAACAAAAAACAAAATAACCCATTAATAACCCGAGTTCATGCTTCGAACTTCGATAGTTTCCCCTAAGTAAATATTATTTCGCATTGCAGCTTCAATGCAGTCATTAATAAAATACTATCGGAACAATAAAAACATTATTAAATATTTCTAATTTTTCCACTTACTAATATTTATCGATTATTTCCCAATATGCTATTAAAATACTACGCCTCTTTTTAATTCCAAAATTCACTCATTTTATATCTTTTAAGTTCCCATGTAGTCCTTTATTCTTTTTAGATATTCCGGGATAACACTTTGCTAACAACTTAAAATTTTTTAAATGTATTGTAAATTAATATTACAGTACATTATTGTTGAGATACTCGTTATTGGTCTTGTAGGGACATCGTACAATAGTTATATAACATCAATTGTAATATTAATTTATTCATGTATATTTTATATAAATTATAGCAAATTATTGTAAAATATATTGTAAAATTTAATTATAAATAAATTGTAAATTTAATTTGTAAAAATACATTCGTGCCGTCACTTTGCATTCCCATAAGCGTTTATTTCTCTACCATTTTATTAAAGAAAAACAAGAGAAATTAATTAACCGATTTCTAACCAAAATCCCACGCGTCCAGTGTCCAGCCATCGTCCAGGTCATACTTGAAATATCAAAAGATAGATTGTTGAATTCAGTCTTGATCTTAAACAATAGTACAAGTGTACCGTATAGAGGGTACTCGTCTTTAGTCCAATCAACAGCCGAGGTTGACTTGGATTAAATTAACTCTAATGACACCCTTCGATATTCCTAAGTCAAAAAACGGTACCTCATTGGTATTTAACAAAAAGAAAAAAAGTGAAACGTTAATAAAACATTTTGCCAAAAAAAAAAAAAATTATTTAAAAAAAAACTCTCATGCTAAAAGAATTAAATTCAAAAAAAATATAGTTCCGATTTCCTTCCCATGTGTCCAGATCCATCTAAAAAAAAAAGATAGAATTTGAAACGTCAACATACATTTCATTATAATAAATAAACTAAGACAGAAAAAAAAACTTACCATAACGAAATCTTACACATCCAAAAAAACTCAAAGAAATATCTATAAAAAAAGAACTATTAATAGCTGCTCGTTAATATTAAAGGAAAATTTTAAAAACTTATGTGTCACGTCCAGGAGACCAAAAAGCCGCCTGAAAAAGAAAAAGAAATAAGTAACCATTTTTAAAAGACGGAATAAAGATATTAAACAAAAATAATACTCTCACCAAAGTCCCGCGTCCAAAGAACTGAAGAACCGCCTAAAAGAAGAAAAATTGAAGCGTTAGGAAACGTTTCGTTAAATAAACATTTCGTCAAAAAAATAATTCAAAAAAATCTCTTACCTACCGAATTGTTATGCGTCCAAAGTCTCAGTCATCTAAAAAAAGAAAAAATTGAAACATTAGTATACGTTTCATTAAAATCTATAGCAGCATAGACACTTCTGATTTCTCACTGAATCCCACGTGTCCGAAGGGTGAAATGAAGTCAAAATCTAGAAAAAGAAAGATTGGTATCAAAGACGTCATAAAAAATAAATATACAATAAAAGACAAAAACCTTCCTTCCGCCAAAATCTCAAAAAAAAGAAGCACTGAAACCTACAAAGAAAGGACAACTGTTAGTAATTAAGACAACAAGATAAAATGTGAATAAAATAGAACACCCACCCAGAAATTGACAAAACCTAAAAAAAAACACGAAAGAGCCGCCAAAACCTAAAAGAAAAAAGAAATCGAAACCTACACCTACAAAAAAAGAAAGGAGAAAGTTAATAACGAAGACAAAAAGACCAGAAGAAATGACACCCACTTCCATTTTCAGGGAGAATCGGCAAATCCTAAAAGGAGAGAAAACTGAGAAAACCGAACTGTTAATAAAGTTCGTTAAAATAAAATAATCAAAGAAAAAAAACTAAGAATTACCATGCCAAAATCCCATTTCTCAAAGTGACTTTAGAGAAACGCCTAAGTAAATGAATTGTTAGAAAATGTTCGTTAAAAACAAAAACAATTAAGTTAAATAGCTTACCAAAATTTCGCGTCCAAAAAGACCGAAAGAACCACCTAAGAAAAAAACTGAAACATTAGAAAACGTTTCGTTAAATAGATAATTAGGAAAAAAAAAATTTTTCTTACTCGTCAAAGTAGCCGAAGAACCAAGTCATCTGAAAAAAGTTAAGAAAACGAACAATTAGACCGTAAGAAGCATCTAAAAAAAAAGAAAAAATTTGAAATAATGTTAGAAAATGTTTCATTAAAATAGATTATTAAGAAAAAATTTTTCCACCATATTCCCACACGTCAAAATACTCGAAGTCTAAAAAAAAGTAAGAAAAATAACTATTAGAAATCGTTCGTTAAAATGAAAAATTTTAAAAAAAGACAAACTTACCGGAAATTTGCACCTAAGAAGAGAAACGCTTAAGATTTCTTCAACAAAAGTGCGAGAGAAGCGGGAAAAGAGAAAGGAAAGAGAAGGAAAATGAAAAAGTAAAGGGAAAAAGGAAGGAAAGGAAAAGTAAAAAACAAGGGAGAGACGAAGGAAGGGTACAAAGGGCAAACGAAGGAAAGGGAAGAATGAAAAAAAATGTAAAAAAAAAAAAAAATTTGAAGAAGTTAGTTGATCGAACTGCGGATTATATCACTGACATACAGACACATAATTTTATATAAATAGGGAGTTTCTCCGAAATTCAAAGAAAAACGATACAAAATGCGAGTTCGTCTAAC